CAAATTATCCCTAAAACCAGACGAAGTGATAATTGTCGATGATTTTGCAGAAAATTATAGTTTCATAGCTGCAGGTAAAGAGATGCATATTCTAAATAAAGCAATTCTGCGGTAAACATCTTTTTAATCAAGTAGATTTTAATTTTTTATTTATCCTCTCTTGTTTCAACAGGATGCTGCTCAGGGATTACAGTTGAATCGAAATTTTGCTACAATTCATCCTTTTATAGTGTACTACAGTACAAGGAAGGAGAATCACTAAAGTCATAAAGCATTGCTATGCTAAGCGCTGAATTAAATCATAGTATTGTATCTGTATATGCATTTTAATGCAAGCTTATTTCCCATATAAAGGAGATATTGCCATCAGATTAAAATCTTTTATTTTTGTGATGGATGTGCTGAACAAATAGACACAAAAGCAAAGTATATTTAGAAGAAGGAGACTGGCTAGGTGACGTAGTTAGTCTGTTTGTTTTTATCCAATAAACGTTAAAACGTCTGAACCGATCGGGCCCAAATTTTGTGTTTGACCTCACATGACCCCAGACAAGGTTTATAAATGATCAAAATTTCAAAAACTTGCCTCCAATAAAATTCGATTTCGATTAAATTTCAAGATCCACGAACTTCTTTTAAAAATCCGCGAACTTTTTTTTTGGATTTGTTTTATTTACAATGCCTACAAAGAGAACATGTTCACAATTAAAATAGAAGACAGGTGCAAAACGCCCTAAAAGCCAAGTGTAAGAAAAAAGAATGTACTTTTTATTTTGTGTTATGTAACTGGAAAGGAAAAGATCTTCTTAATTCAGTTTTCTCAGGAGGCAAAAAGAGTCCCCGAGCATGTCTTTTCATTTAGCTCCGGGTATAATTAATACCGGGGTATAATTAATACCGGGCTATAATTAATAAACTCTGAACACTAAAACATGAATCCTTCTAAAAATTACGCAGTATATGAAGAAGGGAGATAATATTATTTAGGTTTTGTGAAGGGGGGCTAATCATATTACGTTACAAAATATATGTTTATTATGCCACCTTTTTCAACCTTTCCATACTATTTGTAATATTTACAAAATAAAGAGGAGAGAGGGGTTCAATCAATCTCTAGCATCAAGAAACTAGACATTTTCTTACAGTTTCTCGCAGCCGTTTTAATAGTATTTTTTTGTTGGCTGAACTCATTTGATATACCATTAAAATACTATTTAATGAGACGTTATACATTTTAACCTTAATTATGATTGTTATTTATAAATAGTGTTTAGGTCGTCATATAAGGGACTGTATGCATTATTTCAAGCAAACCTCATGAAAATGCCAAATTCAAAACAGTATCCTCATTACCTTTGTCTGATCAAGCAGGAATTATTGGAAAAATTATTATTTTTAGCTGTGGTTTTCTACTGTGATAGAATAAACCAAACCATTTTTAACTAATAGTATCTTAGTTATATTTTGTTCTAAGGATATTTTAGAATAGGATATTTTAGTATAGGATACTGCAGAATAGGATATTTTAGTACAGGATACTGCAGAATTGAATATTTTAGTATAGGATACTGCAGAATAGGATATTTTAGTACAGGATACTGCAGAATAGGATGTTTTAGAATAAGATATTTTAGAATAGGAGACTTCAGAATAGAATATTTTAGTATAGGATACTGCAGAATAGGATATTTTAGAATAAGATATTTTAGAATAGAAAGTTTGTGAAATTTTCGCATTTTTTTTCGAAAGTGTTCGTTCGCTGGAAATCTTACAACCTTGCAGCATTTCAAACTTTTTAAATTAATAAAAAATTTAAATTTAGCATGAAGATTATGAACAGATAATAATCCAGATGTTTCTAAAAATTATTTTGTCTGAGACACAAATAATTATAGTTTTTAACATGGCTTCTGACTAAGGTTGTATAATAAGGTTTTCGGATTACAATAATGACGTGTTTTTTCTGCTTCAGAAAGCGGAGAAAATCCTTACCCTCCCCTTTTTCAACAGCAACGGAGAAAATCCGCCCCTCCCTCTCAACAGCAACGGATAAAATCCTCCCCTCCCTCACACCAGCAACGTTGTCACTTCATCCTCCGCCAATAATCAGCTACGTCATATGCCGATTTTGATTTTTGTCTTTTCCTATGAAGACGACATTTCCCGTACATTGGAGCACATCCAGAGTATCTAACCTTGTTATACAACCTTGCTTCTGACGGAAAAGTTTGCTGGAGAAGTGGATAAAAGGCTGGATAAACTTATAAACTTGGCTAGATCTTATTTATTATAAAAACTTGTCAAAAGAATTTTTCCAAATTAATTTTTACTTTTACCGTCACATAACATATTTTCAAGCAAAAAGCTTCCCTTATTAAAGACCTCCAATATTTCAAATGTATAATATGTAAATCAATAAAGTTTTTTCTTCATACTTGTGCATGAAATCAAAACTAGAGGAGCTACGAGATCAACAAGTTGTACCATAACCGTCGTAGAAATTTGACCGTTGGCCAGAGGGGTATTTTCATGTGACTCTCCACCAAATATGGTAATTCCTGATTTACAAGAGAACCCTTGAAACTATACGATAAAAAACGTGGAAGATAGCGAAGTTTTCTGACTTTAAGAGATTTTTTTTTACGCAGTTTTTATTTTTTTCTGTATAAATAAGAAATGCCAAAGTCACTTTTGCAGAATCACAAATGAAAATGAAGATTGCATGGAGGGTCACTTGAATTACGCTTACAGTTAATAAAAGTGAGCCTTTGGAGCGGTTTATAAATTTCATTCAACTTACATGCTAAGCCATTGCATTCAAAAGTTTTCATCTCTTTTATGTTTCTATATCTTTGTATTCTTTATTCGAAACTTTGAAATTCTTAAATTACTTAGTTAAAAAGTTTTGTTAGCAGATGCGAATATATAAGCCTGATATTCAAAACTATATTTGGGGAAACATATATATAAATTAGAGGCTTACCCACAAATGATTAGACTTCAGAGACGACTGTACGGAATTCAATTGATTTTATTCTTATACATTCATGGTTCTTTATAGCGTTAACATTTTTAATTTCTTTGTAAAAGACGTCAGGATAGTGCCCCAAAAAAACACTTTTTTCTAAATGCAAAGACTAGGGTCATAATTTTGGATTAGTTATTTTAAGCGATTAATGTTGGCATATACGAAAAAATGATTATAGTCAAAGATATGTAAATAAGGATTATAAAAATTTTGCTTCAATTTGTTTCGCGAAATAAGAAAAGCGTAAATTTCGCAAAAAAGCGAAACTTTCGCGACAAAATTCGCAAATTCGCTGATAAACCCTAATAATAATAACAATACAATGAAGAAGACTTTTATAATAAATTTTGATTGTTAACAAGCTTTTTTCGCATTACAAGTTTACAAGTTATCAAATAGAAGCTAATTTATTGACAGCTTCTCTTGACTTCTATTTGAGCTTCTCCTTCATTCTAGTTTACACTTTACAGTGAGTTAGAAAAATTGTCAGTGAATTAAAATATTCCAAAAGAATATGAGCTGAAGGCTCGCGTAAACGTAAAAACATCCCTAGCCCAGCCCCGTTACGGAGTACTGACCAATCTTGTATTTAACAGGGAATTAATTCTCTCTTCCAATCCTGAAGAAATGAGCCTTGAATCTGACTGATATTGATGTTTAGTATCTACTGTTTACTCCAGTACTATGAAAACCTGAATATATAATGGGGAGCAGAATATATCATGATGAATGACTGATAGATACATTATATCATTGAATAATTTATGCAGGGATAACCAAATAGTTGTATTAAAATTGTTGTTTTTGTTATTTTTACTAAAATTGTAAATGCTACTGATCATAGATAAATAACAATGCGGTTAGAATACTAGATGTCGTCTTTTCAAAATTTAGAAGTTTTTCTTTCACAAGAATAACAAGACAGAGAGAGAGCCTGTTCTCACTCCTTTGAGCTTCTGCCCCAGTGTTATTGTGATAGAAAAACTCCAAAATCTTGACGACATCTTTTGTTGTATCTGCAATGTTATTAATTTATGTCGCTGATTTTGATATTTTTAAAATTGTCACTGTTCACCACTCTTAAACCTTAGGAACATATGAAAAACATCTGATTATAAAGGTGCTTGGGAGGTTTAAAAACAGCTGATTCTAAAGGTGCTAGGGAGGTTAAAAAGGTTCCAATATGTTCTTCATAAAATTTTTAAAATTAAAGTTTTCTTTTTGGTAAAACTGTCATTTTTTCTTTTCTTAAGGGGACTGTAAGTGTAATTCCAAGTGACTTCTTATTTTAAAAGATGACAATACCCGATTCACAGCGGTACCCTGCCCAACATGAGTAAAATATGAAAGTGGAATTATAGGAATTGAACACTTTTAAATTTTAAACCTGGAAAAACAACAATAACTTCCACATTCATGATCTGATTAATTTCAAGAGTACCGTTGTGAATCGATCGCGCATTGCCATCTTTCCCCGGAAGTTCTTTTAAAATTACGCTTACAGTCCCTTTAAAAGTTAATACATTTAGGTCGATTATTTAACGGGTTAAACTAATGTACTTTATTTATTTAACGGGTTGAACAATGTACCTTATTTATTAAACGGGGTGAACTATGCACTTTATTTATTTAACGGGTCAAACAATGTACTTTATTTATTTAACGGGTCGAACAATGTACTTTATTAATTTAACGGGGTGAACTATGTACTTTATTTATTTACCGGGGTAAACTAAATGTACTTCTAAAATGTTCCGAGATATATCAGTCGGCAGTCCTGAATAGGGAATTGAATTTCTATCCTTCTCTTTGTCTGAAAGTTGTAATTAAATTTGTTCAGAAGGAAAAGAATTCAAGTATTTCTGGGGAAAAAATGTATTTAAAAAAAAGAAGCCCCGGGATTATTAATTTATTGATTTATGTAAGAATATACGAAATAATATGGAAATCTTTTTCCAAACTGGGACTTCCAATGGTAAATATTCCAATGGAAAGTATTCTGATGGGGAATTATTCCGAAGGAAAGTGTTCCGACGGAAATTATTCCAATGGAAAGTATTCCGATGGAAGTATTCCAATTGAAACTATTCCAATTGAAAGTATTCCGATGGAAATTATTCCGAAGGAAAGTATTCCAATGGAAAGTATTCCAATGGAAAGTATTCCAATTGAAAGTATTCCGATGGAAAGTATTCCGATTGAAAGTTTTCTAATTGATAGCATTCCAATGGAAAGTGTTAAAAAGGAAAGTATTCCAGTGGAAAATATTCCAATGGAAAATATTCCAATGGAAAGAATTTCAATGGAAAGTATTCCAATGGAAAGTATTCCAATGGATAGTATTCCTATTAAAAGTATTCCAATGGATAGTATTCCTATTGAAAGTATTCCAATGGAAAGTATTCCGATTGAAAGTTTTCTAATTGATAGCATTCCAATGGAAAGTGTTAAAAAGGAAAGTATTCCAGTGGAAAATATTCCAATGGAAAATATTCCAATGGAAAGAATTTCAATGGAAAGTATTCCAATGGAAAGTATTCCAATGGATAGTATTCCTATTGAAAGTATTCCAATGGATAGTATTCCTATTGAAAGTATTCCAATGGATAGTATTCCTATTGAAAGTATGCCAATGGATAGTATTCCTATTGAAAGTATTCCAATTGCAAGAATTCCATCGGAACTGTAAAAGTGAGACTATGAGAGGATGAAGAAGACAATTCTAACTAATTAGAGAAACTACTTTCTAGATTAGGTTTCAGGGGAGAAGGGATTTATAAATCAAACCTAAGATAACTTGGGATTTATATTTCTTTAAGCCAACAATTAAATAAGATAGTGTATAGTGTAGAGGAGAGATTCTATATCAAATCTAAAAACTACAAATGTCAAAACATGTAAATCTGGGAAAATAAAAAGAAAACCCAGACATTTTTCAATGAACTTAACTACTTCTGTAACAAATCAGTTTAAATTTTAAGAAGAAAAGATACAAGATTATGATGACAAGAAGTGAAAAGATACAAGATTATGATGACAAGAAGTGAAATGATACAAGATTATGATGACAAGAAGTGAAATAATTAACATCTAATCTTTTCTTAATTTAGAAATATCACTGAGATTTTTCAAATTTGTAACTGTTGTAACTTTGTAAAATTTTCGATGTGAAAAACAGAAAAGGTGCTTGCTACACATTAGCTTAATTAATCAAAATTTTCAAAATTTTGTGTTATTTATGATTTAAACCTTATAGCGTCCACAAAACAAATATATTTCTGTTTGGGTTCACGCAAATCTGCCCCTTTGTTAAAAGTAAATTCAACCTGTATGAAGCATAAAGTCTGACCGCGTCAACCTTGTTGCACCGGCTAGTCCTTTTTCATAGAGCTAGGTACAGTACAAACTGGGACGGGAAAGGTGGACCCGGCTTGGAAATTCAAATGTACTACAGCTGCCCGTGCCGGTTGACCCCTTCATTTGTTGAGATTTGCTTCTGTCATGAATTGAGAGGAACTAATCAAAGAAATTTTCTTAAGTTTCACGGATTTTGCTCTCTGCCTTGCACTTAAATAGAGTATGCACAAAAATATGACATAGAAGGCAGTGTTTTCAATTCAAAAATAATTTCTTGATTTAGAATAAAGTTTGATAGAAATGAACATAAGTAAATAAATATTTAAATAAAAATTATATTTCCAGCAAAATTAAATTATGAACATCTGAAAAATTTTAGAGATCATTTTTAGATTTCCTGAGTTCTGAATTCATTCTCAGAATTTTGATAAAGCTTAAAATCAATTTACATTTAATGCATTTTGTCTGTTAACATTAATTGAATACTTGAAACGATACAAACAATTATTGTTGGACCAACTAAAGTTGATCTAAATATACAACATTCGCTTGGGGCGAATATATTTCCATTCAACCTCTTCTGAGCAGATGCTTTGTGCTGACTGAATAGTCCTAGGGGACCCTGGGGATAAGATGGTCAACGATCTGCTTTCTCTGCCGGCAGGATAAATGCCGTTTCACTCCATTCTCCAGCATCGATCTCACCCTAGTTGCCCCTTAAACGGGAAGGACTTGCTATCTCTAGATAAGAAAGGGGTTCAATACCCTTGTCCCCCCACTACTGCAAACATACTTGGAGTTCAATACCCTTTTGGACTGGATCTGGATTGTTTGGCTTTATTCTTGATTGCATTTTTTATGTGCATCATTTCTCCGACTGTGAGCAATGCACTTATATCTGATTATTTACATAGGGATGAGCCCTTGGTTGGCTTTACAATACAGTAAACATTAAACTTTTCTAACAAGGAAATACTCTTTAAAGTTATAAAATAAAATAAATGTTTTTTTTAAAATGAAATTTGTTTAAGGGACTTTAAGCGTAATTTCAAGTAACCCTGCAATTGCATGCAAAGATGGCTGCCCGATTCACAATGGTTACCTTGAAAACTTTATCTTATTGATATGGAATGGTTTAAAAATGTTCGAGTTCTTGTGTGCTTCCATATGTCCAAGCCGTTTTGTTTTACATTCAGTTTTTAAATTGAATACATTGATATTCAATTCATATTTAATACTCAACCAGACAAAGAATTGAACATTACCTTTTGAGGAACACTTGCAATTACGCTGACAGTCCGTTTAAATTTTACATGGATTCAATATGCACTTAAAACTTGCAATTACGCTGACAGTCCGTTTAAAATAGAATTTTACATGGATTCAATATGCACTTAAAACTTGCAATTACGCTGACAGTCCGTTTAAAATAAAATTTTACATGGATTCAATATGCACTTAAAACTTTTTAATCTTTTCCTAAGGTTTCTACCAAAGGTTTCTACAGACTTATTTTGTAAGGAAACTTAAAATAAAGAAGAGGAAAACTTTTTAAGATAAAATGCAGCCATTTTAAAACAAAGTTTATAAACCCTGCATATTAAATTATAGATGATATAGATATTGTGGGATAATAATGGATAGTTTTTTTTATCCCTTAATAGGTTCGTAATATGGCAGTTTACAAGAAACAGTTAACGATCATGAAAATTGGAACTTGTAACAAAAATTGACTTTTTAGATTTTGGAACAGAATCGTTTAAAACATCACTGTATGTATATTGTATATACCGTTCTAAAAACATTATTTGGTAGGACAGATATAATGTGATATACACATTTTTTTATATGAAACCAACGAGGTTATAGTATATAGAGTGATGATGTACGCTGATCCTTTACTAATTGTACAGGCCATGTAGTCCACTTTCAAAGGTATATTACATTAAAACATTTTTCTTTAAAGTGAATATTTGCAAATTATCTTTTTTCCATCTCATAATCTGAGTTTGTTTACCTTATGTCCATTTGACAGCCCAAATTTTTATTTTGAATAATCTTTTTTGTTTGTTTATTTTCTTGTGAATTTTTACAATTCTGTTATGTTTTTTTTATCGATTTTGATGGTTATTATATCGTTAGGGATATTTTTGGGTTTGGAAAGGCTAGTGAAAATAGAATTAGTTTTGAATATGTACTAGTCCAATTCTAAATGAAATCACGCTGGAAAAAAGTCTTCAAACATTTTTAAAGATAAACGGTTATAAAAACTCAGTTTGAAAATGTTTTAGATGTTTTAAATAAAACCCTGGAATGAAAAACTAGATGATAAATTGCACAATGCTCCGATATATATATTTACATATTGTACACAATAACTGGAATTTCATTTATTTATGAAGGTGACTTCCGGATCATGATAAACAGGAGTATACAGGGTGATACAGGAAGATACAGGGGGATACAGGGTGATACAGGAGGATACAGGGGGATACAGAAGTATACAGTAGGATACTGGATGATACTGGAGGATACAGAGGGATACAGAAGGATACAGGGAGATACAGGAGGATACAGAAGGATACAGGAGGATACAGGGCGGAACAGGGGGATACAGGAGGATACAGGAGGATACAGAGGGATACAGGAGGATACAGGAGGATGCAGGGGGATACAGGAGGATACAGGGTGTTACCGTGGGATACAAGGGGAAACAGGGGGACATAGAGGATACATGGGAAACAGGGTAATACAGCTAGGGGGATACAGGGGGATACAAGAGGATACAGGAGGATACAGCAGGATACAGAAGGATACAGGAGAATACAGGGGATGCAGGGGGATACAGGAGGATACAGGAGGATACAGGGGGATACAGGGGGATACAGGGGGATACTGGAGGATACAGGGGGATACAAGGGGATACTGGAGGATACAGGGGGATACAGGGGGATACTGGAGGATACAGGGGGATACTGGGGGATACTGGAGGATACAGGGGATATTGGAGGATACAGGGGGACACAGGTGGATACAGAGGGATACATGAGGATACAAGGGGACACATGTGGATACAGAGAGATACATGAGGATACAGGGCAATCTGGAAATGGCCAATTCCCAACGGTACCCTTATAAACCTTTGTCTAATTAATAATGTAGAACATTTTTTTCTTTTTATGTTTTAAAGTGTTTAATTCTTATAACACCTATAAGTTTTCCTACAGCAGAAATGTCATTTTTGTACAAACAGAAACCATAATTAAAAATAAACAGTTTTCAAATTTTAAACAGTGATACATAATTCATACTTGATCAGACACAGCTTTTAAGGGTACTGTAAATCGAACATTGCTATCTTTAGATGGAAGATCTCTTGAAAAAACGATTACAGTCCCTTTAAACTAAAATCTTATTTGTGTTTTCAAAATAGCCGGATAAATAGATAGATAGAAGGATTTTATTCAAAGTTTTTGTCTTTTGAATATGATAGCTTATGACAAAGTGTCTATATTATGACATTTTACTTTTCTTTCTTTTTCAATATATGTAGAGCTAGAAGTTTTTACAGATGCATTTCTTATCCTTCATCCTTCATCCAGCTACTCCCTACTCCCTACTCCCTACTTTCCACTCCCTACTCCCTACTTATTACTCCATACTCCATACTCCCTACTTCCCACTCCCTACTCCTTACTCCTTACTCATTACTTCTTAATCCTTAATCCTTAATCCTTACTCCTTAATCCTTAATCCTTAATCCTTACTCCCTACTCCCTACTCCCTACTCCCTACTCCCTACTCCCTACTCCCTACTCCCTACTCCCTACTCCCTACTCCCATACTTCCTTCTCCTATTAACAGATAAGGCTCTCTTGGGAAACATGTCTGAATATATTCAATTAGTCCTCCCCCCTTTCCCCTTCCCACATCGCCATCCCCCCTATCCCTGCCCCGAATTACCTTTCCCGTCCCCTTTCCCTTTATTCTTAACAACTATTACAATTCAATTCAACCTTTTCGTTTTAAGTTTTAGCAGAAAATTTTTTTTAAATAACGGGTGTTGGATATTGATGGCCTAAGGCCCAATCAACTTTGTATGGTAAATATTAATACCACATTTAAAAAATATATATTTCGGTCTGGGTCTACATGTAGCAAATATCGTTGCAAGCACTATATTTGTTAGCCTGAATATACTTAGATATATTATATTGTACATTGTCTGTAAATCTAAATGTGCATATCATTAACTACGCAAAACTTGTTATGCGATTAACCTTGCCTAACTACGTCTTTAAATATGAAAAACCATGTATTGTGATTAGCTTA